AGAAGACTTATTTATGATATGCACTCAGATTTGAAACAACTTGTAAAATATATACTCAATATAAAATATTTATTGGGGAGTTAAATATTTAAAAATATAATATATTTTTAATTATTTTAAATATAATTATTGTTTTTTAAATGCTCCTATTAATGAAGAACTTTATATTTATTATAAGTTATTTCATAAAAGAAAATATGAAATGATAAATGATTATTTTATAATTAAATAGGTATAAATTTTGGTTTAGATTTGATTATATTTATTCAGATTTCATATCTATTTAATTAATATTTATATATCTTTTCCTCATCACTTAATTATAAAATAAAAAGAAATTTTGATAATCCCCCCGTTCAAAAATGGAATGCATTTTAAACCGAATCTCACCCCCAATAAAGTAGTTACATACTTTCAAACTAATCCTATATTTTTATATTTACCTCTATTAAACACCCTACAATAAATATAAAGTCATTTATCAATAAGTGTACTTTTAAAAAAAGCAATGATTATACCTTGAAAGAGTAAAAATGTCTTATATTTTTGAACATCCAACTCCTCAAAAAATGCTTTATATTTTTAAACAGAGGGAGTATAAAATTTACTCATATCTTTATTTTTTATATCGTGCAAAAAGATTAGAAAAAAACAATAAAGAAGGAAAGAATAAGAAGATCGAAGCAGATAAGGAAAGGAAAAGAATGTAAGGAAGGGAACGTAGGAAGCAATTATCGCAAGCATATAAATACACACACACACACAGACCAAATATTATGGCGAGACGATGCATAGGAAACGATTTTCAAAGAAGGAAAAAAGGGCAATGCAAGAGATAAAATGATATATATATATATATATATATATTAAAATCTCATATCAATTAGGAATAAAAACAGGAGCTTCTACTTTAACTATAAATACTCCCATTCAACAAGAGTAAAGGTATTCAATCACTTATCTAAGTGCTTTAGGAATTCTCTTTGATATATTTGAAGCCCATAGGCTGCAAGCAAGATTGTTGAGGAGTTTTATAAATCATAATTATTTCTTTTCTACTCCTTAATTTTCTTTATGGTTATTTTTCATGATTGTGGATTTTAGATTGATATTATTTAATTTTATTATGTGTTTCTAAATTATCCAGTTGGGATAGGGATGTAGACCAATTTAAGAGCTGGTTTTCTACCTTCTTTGTTTTGACTATTTGCATTTATATTTATGAATATTTTTTCTTTTTTCAATAATATTTGTTTTTCTTGTTCTTTATATTGATTTAATGACTGGCCATTATTTAATCAAATCTATAGGTAATTTTGATGGACTGTGAGGTGAAGAGAGAACTTACATTTAGAGAAATAAACATAAATAACTAGGCTAGGGATATTTTTAGAAATTTATAATGACTTAAACTATAGTTTCATGGTTTAATTAGTTGCTTCGTTATTGTAGGAACGAATTCAATGCTAATTAAAAAGTGACTAATAATTCGAGAGAATATCAGGACACTTTATGAACAATTGTCACTATAATTGATCAAAGTCAACTCAAACGATAAAAACTAGCAACCTATATGATAAATCTTAATCCTCAATACTTCAAGTGGTTGTGTTTTCATCATCATCATTTTTAATTTATTTTTATTATTTATATTTTTATCAAAATTATTCATTTTATCTATTTTTCTTAAACTATTAATTATTCAAATTAGTAAAAGTATAACTTTCCTATGAGTTTGACATTTGGAATACTCAGAGTAATTTATTACTGTAATCTCATACACTTGTGAGAGCAATTAGTAATTACTTTATTAAGAATAAGACTCTGTTAAAAATATTTTATATTTTTAAATAAAGAGAGTATGTCCTAAATTTGCATTACCTGTTGGTTGTGAAACTATATAGCATTCCACGTTTGTTAAAATGCTCCTAAAGAGATAGAATACGAAAGCAAATTAGTGTAATATTTTATTAAGTGAAAAATAGTGAAATAAATAAAGATAATGTGTAAAAAATTAATAAAATAAATAAAAGAGAGGTCAAGATGTTTGAAAGAGGTAATCTCTATTTTTAGGGAACCTACTACTTGTAATAAAAAAAGAAATTAAGATATTATAAATAAATAGAAACAAACAAACTTGCAAATTAAGTACTGCGTTTAGGATAGAAGTGAATATAATAATTCATCTTCTTTTTGCTAGAATCTTCAAGTATATATGTATTTAAAATGATGTAAAAAGTCCCATATTAAATAAAATTAATATTAATAATTAATATAAATTAAAAAAAAGCTCATGAACTTAAATTTAAAAATTTTAAATTAAAATGTGATGTACTTCCCTCATACTTTCCAAGAAGAAACAGAGAGAAAATAACGAAGCCAGAATTCTTTTGAAAAACAAGAGCCCCTCTCAACCTTTCAAAAAGAAACTTGTCTCTATATGTCGACGGTGGGTGTGTTTGTCTAGGGGTGACTGAAAAAATAAAAAAGGTTGAGATGACAGCACCAACTAAACAGGCCATAACCTTGTCATTTCCACTCCACAAAATATATTACTTTTACGATTATCCCACGTGGCCCCCAAGTGCCCTGGCCATCAGTCACTGTATGGTTGGTGCATAGGAATATTCTTTACAAAAAGGAATGGAAAGACTAGCTAGTAGAAATGAGAATGGAATAACCAATGTTTTAAAATTTAAACCGAACATCAAATCAAAAAAAACAACAAGTTACAGTTTTTATGGTCTAATCGGTTAGACCGGCAATCAAACCGGTGACATAAAAAGTAAATAAAAAATAAAATTTATATGTGTAATTATATAAATAAAACATTAATTTATTAATGGTGCTTAAGACCTCAACCCCAAAAGCTAGATACTTAGATTATTGGAGCTAGAGGTAGAGGCATGTCAGTACAAGCTTGTGATCTCAAAGGAAAATGTTGGAGCTAGAGGCATACTGTCATGTCATGTCTCACAAGTTTTCGATCTCAATGTTAAAGGTTAGATCTTTAGAGTTGGAGGCAGATGTTGGATGAGAAGTTAGAGATTGAGTTTGGGCCATGAATGAGAGATTAGATATTAGAGAAGAAAAGAAAAGAGAGAATTAGTGATTAGAGAAGAGAAATTGTGAATCTAAGCAACTTAGCCTTTTTTTTCTTAATTTTTTTAGCTTTGAACCGGGTTGACTCGAGTTCGGTTCCTAGGTCAAAGCCGGTTCTCTCAAAATCGGCCAGTTCAACCTGGGCCAAATGTCAGATTAGTTCAATTGGTTGAACCGGACCGTTTTCTTCAGCGGGTGACGGTTGGACCAGTCGGACCGTCCGGTCCGATCTGGTTTTAACAACATTGGGAATAATAACTTAAGAATATTTAACTAAAAAAGAATAAATGACCCAAGTGTTTTTAGAGAAGAATAGATGGTTTTTCCTATATCCTATCTATGTGTGGAATGGAGGTTGTTTTAATGTTAAATAATTCATTTCTTTAAAAATCACTCCAACTCATTAGCACTTTCAGCATGCTAACTTGTTCACCATGTATCATATCAAGCAATTCAAGTCATTCTTCGACATGTTAGTGGGCTTTCTTGAGTTTGAGAAAAGGTGTTATTTTTATTGCATGTAATAAATTATGACTAATCTGTAGATTTCAATTAGGTGAAGTTTCATATTCTGTATGTGTTAACCTATAATTCTTGCTATATATAAAGCTTCATTGGCTGAATTGAATAAAGGAGAATAACAGTTAGGTTTTCAATAAAAAAAATTTTGAAAAATAAACTAAAAATATTAATTTAAATAATTAGAAATGCAAGAATTCTAATCATAAATAAAATATTTAAGTTTTAAATATAATTTTTAATATATAATTGAGATTTTTGTTTACAATTGTATGAATTAATATTTATAATTTATTTATTTTTTTAAAAAAATTGTTAGGAATCTAATTATTATTAATTTGTTTTTTTTAGAATTTTATTATACATCATTGCCCCTTGAAAAAACATAGCAAAATTTATTCTCAACTTTAACTTTTTCCCCCCTTTTGTCAGTAGTTTCTGAACTTTGTGTGTAAAATTGCACATGGCCACCGTTACTTCGCCAAAACCCTTCCCTGTCGCGACCCAAAATGGCCTTTGAGTTGGACTAGTCCTTCGGAAGCACGCTACTTTCAACGGCCAAATTTTTGTTGGGACCCGTTTTTCGTGTGGGGTATGGCGTGGTTGTTTCATAATCACCCGAACTAGTTCACCCAAGGTAAAAAAAAAAAAATTATCACCAATAATAACTGTGTCATCGGTTAGTTTGTTTTAGATTCGAAGATATAAAAGAAAGAAATTAAATTATAATTTTTTTGCTGCCCATCCAATAATTTAAAATGTAAGTGAACATGCCCTTCAAGTATGCTTTAAGAGATCTTCAAGCTGATCTATGGACTGTCACTAATGATTCAAACCCTCTGAAGTTATGCTACAATTAATGAATTTGCACGATTTTCAAACCCAGATCTATTCAGACAATCAAATTGGTCGAACCATCCCTCGGGAAGAAAAAGATTTCATCCAATCATTTAGTCTGTTCTAACAGTTGACCAGGGTTATTTCACTTTGACTCGTGTAGTTTTTGAAGATTCAAAGCAAAAAATCCAAAACTTAGAATAGTTAAACCGTTTTAACCCCATATATGTATATAAATATTTTTTTATTTAATTATTATATCACTGATTCAACTAATGTTCTAATTAGATAAACTATAAGTCCTGTGATTTACTAATCTTTTCGGTTTATTGCCCAGGGTTTGTTGTTTGTGAAATTCACCAATTACGAATTTGGATAATTTAAATCCATATTCCCACGTCAACCTCACATAATTACTGCCTCCATCCACGCATATTTCTAAGAAATTGTTCACATCTTACCGAAACAACGCAGAAGTTGACTTCAAATAGTTCAGAATCATAGAATTATAAATTGAAACACGAGTCATCTTAGACTTGCATCACGCAGCTATTAAACAACAGCCCCTTATATTCTTCTTCACTCGGAGCATAATTATTAAGCAAATGAGTCATCCTTCTCGGCAAGAGACGGAGCTGATGAACATAGAGACGGCTCATCACCGCGAAGAAGATAAAATCAGAGTTCTCTATGAAGCATCGTACAAAGGGTGTGTTCCAACCTTGAATTCCCTGCTACAGGAAGACCCAGGAATTCTGCAGAAAATTAGCTCGCAGACTATCTTCATAGAAACTCCTTTGCACATATCAGCTTCCCATGGCCACCTTGAATTCACAAAAACCCTCCTTTCTCACAAACCAGAACTAGCCCTTGAGCGGAACTCTTCACGAAGCACACCTCTTCACTTAGCTTCTGCAGAAGGCCACATCGAAGTTGTGATGCAGTTGTTGAAAGCTTGTGAGGAGGCATGCTTGGTTCTTGATCAAGAAGGTAGAATTCCCTTGCACTATGCTATCATACGAGGGAGAAGGGACGTTGTGTTGGAGCTCATCAAAAAAAAAAAAAAAAAACCAGAGTCTCTGAAGATCCTTGATGACAAGGGGAAAACTATTTTCCACTTGTGTGTGACGTACAACCAGTTAGACATACTGAAAGATTTGATTGAACTAAATATTGATGACACCCACGAGCTCCTCATTAAGAGTGACAAGGATGGCAACAACACAATTCTGCATTTGGCTATCTTGTTGAAGCAAGTTGAGGTACTTAATTTTCGCTTGCTTGTATTACTAGCTCGAGTTTGGTTCTGCTATATCTCATAAGCATTAAAAAATAGTGTACTTGTTCATTGTTGTTTAGACCGTTAGGTACCTCCTTTCAATTCGCAAAATAAGATCAGAAGCATTGAACTTGAAGAACGACATGGGTTATACTGCCGCTGATATTGTTGAGAGAATTCCCAAGGATTCTAAGAGCCTTGAGATACAAGTCATATTGATGGAGTGTGGCATCAAATTTGGAAGAAGAGAAAGGCTTGATGTTGGCAGCGAAGAAGACAGACCTGGGAAGAAGAGGTGGTCGTGGAGAAATGTTTTCAATGTTTTCAAGAGCATAGACCGATGGCTTGAGTACAATGGTGATTGGCTAGAAGACATGAGGGGGAATCTAAGTCTCGTGGCTACTGTCATCTCAACCATAACCTTTCAAGCGGCACTTAACCCTCCTGGAAGCGTAATTCAACAAGGTATAAGGCCTGGCAATCCCGATTTTAACCTCACTTCCAGTTTCAACACTTCTCTTGACGAAGGACCCCTCGGCTGCTTGCCGTACAAAGATGAGTTTGGGCGTAACCGCAGTTACGGACCATGTCCTGGGGTAGCGACGCATGCTTATCGGTATCCTGACGAGTTTCGCCAGTTCATAGTTAACAACACCATCTCCTTTGTGGCATCTCTTTGTGTTGCTCTCTTGCTTGTTGGTGGAGTTCCTCTCAAACGCAGATTTGTGATGGGGATGCTATCTATAGGCATGTGTATAGCACTCACATGCTTGCTAAATGCCTATTTTGCCGGCCTCAACCTTATCATCCCATGTAATCTGCATACTGGGAATGCGGTGATCGTAGCCGCTTGGATTTTTAGTGGATTGTATGTGCTGGTTGGCATATATAGGGCAGTGATATTTGTTAAATGGGTAGTGGGGACATTGAAGGAAAAGATAATTAATCGTCGAAAGTCCAAGTGACGAAGGAACAGGGTCAGAAACAGCTGTTGCTTGATATGATATTAATGCGCGTTTGGGTTGCACAACTTCTTTTCAGGGTTGATTAATACTACTGTTACTGCTTGTTTGATGCACCAAAAATATTTTCTAGAAAGAAAATGAAAAATATATCCAGAAAAAAATGATATAGATATATTTCTCATTTATTTCTTAAAAAATATTTTTCTACCTACAAAATATAATGTATTAATTTTCATGGTGTCTGCATGCACTTAAATATTTAATGGTCGGCTTGTGTTTTAGATGTTTTCAGGACAATATTCCTCTTCATCACTCAAGGTCGTCCTACTTAATTGCCGAGTATATGAGAAACCTTCTTTTCCCTATCAAAATATCTCTTCATTTGATTGATATGTATAAACCTTCGACCACAAAAAAAAAAAAAAGATTGATATGAATAAGCCATTTTTATAAATTTTTTCAACAAAAAAATAGAGATGTTATTTCAATGAAATTTAAGAAAGATTTATACACTTCATTCTACTAACCGGAGAAATGTTAAAGATATATAAATAAACTATTTGTGTAACTTCAATTTAGAAAGATTGTGCTAGTTTGATTTCAAAAATAAAAACACCATTCCCTCGATTAAAAACACCACTTAAGATGCCTGGCAACGGCTTGACTTTTTGCCTTATTGATATGCATATAATTCTTAACATTAAATTTCATAATAACATGCTTTCAGTAATGAATAGAGGATGCGCCAAGTAATGGAGAGGGCCCAAAAAGGTTGTCCAAGCCTTGTAAAGGTGTGAGAGAGAAACAAAATTTAATTTAGGAGATGATGCTGATCAACAGAAATGGATGTGGAATATGTGGAGAGTTTCTGGCTTTCTCTATATGAAGTTGTCATTTTTTCCCCCCTTGCCGAGAGAGCACTTCCCTTCCCCTTTCATTCCCCCCTCTGTTTCTTACGTTACATTATTAAGAAAATTTCAGTTAAGGAATACAGTAAAAACTTAATTATTGGTGAGTTCAAATTTTTTTAAAAAATTTTAATTCAATTCAAGGGAAAAAAGTCAAATCAATTTCAACAGTGAAAAGATCAAATTACCCTTCACTTATTATATAGAATCATTAGTTATTAATTTTCTTACTCTACCTGTTAATTAACTAATATGAGTTGCAAATTATATGAGTTGATCGCATGCTAATAATTATATAAAACTTGATATGACATTAGTTGTTTATCATAAGCATCAATATCAATTGTTAAATTACTAACTTTACTTGTTAATTTATTAATATCAGTTGTAAATTACTGATAAATCTTGTCATTTACTAACATTAATTGTAAATTATTGATAGGTTTTATAATTTACAACTAATAATATATAGTAAATTAATAAGTGAAGTAAAAAAATTAACAGTCAATGATTTCGCATAGTGAGTGAAGGGTATTTTAATTTTTTCATTGTTAGAATTGATTTAACTTTTGTCATTTAAAGTGAACTGAAATTTTATTTTTTATTTTAAATTTACTAGTAATTAAATCTCCATCGTGATCATTAACTACTAAAAGACCTTGTTGCTGTACTTTGAGTTAGTGCCATTCGAAATATCAATCTTCCATGTCCGTGTTGCTGTCAAATTCTTCGTTGAATTTGAGGGGACACGTATTCATTTCGTGGAGATCAAATTTGAAAATCAATGATATTATTTTTATTTAGCTGAAATTAAATTAAGGACAATGCAACTCATGTTTAATTTTATGATTAAAATTAAACATACATAAATAGATTGTATATCCTGAGCATAAAGAATAACTATGCTAATAAAGATAATATTGTAATTTAATTAATTTAAGTATTTGGAAAGTAGATTCTACAGGTATATTCGATTACACGTTTTACTTCTTTATTATAAAAATAACTAACAATATCTTCCTCAAAACTAAATAAAAAATGCTGCAATGAAATATTATTGAGAGAATTACAATAAAATCTTATATAGAAAAATTAATTATTGTAAGGTCTATTGATAATTAAACTAAACTATATTAACAACTGATTGTGTTGTCAATGCAGTTTAGTTCGGTTGTCAATAGATCTTGTAATAATTAATTTTTTGTGTGAGATTTCAATATAATTCTTTCAATATTATTTTGACAAAAAATCACAAAGCGCATGTTTCCGCATGTAAGTCAAAAGAAAACACAATAAACATACCTTGTCAAAGATATTTCATTTTTAACACTTCAATAATATTTGTTTTCCAGATTTATACGAACTTTTGAAAGTTTTGATCATCAAATTATTTACTCCCTCCGTTTAAAAATGTAAGATATTTTTTGAGGAGTTGGATATTCAAAAATATAAGGTATTTTTAGTTTTTTGAGATGTAATCATTATCTTTTTTTTCAAAAGTGTCCTTATTGATAATGACTTTATATTTATTGTAGAGTATTTAATAGCAGTAAATATAAAAAAATAAGATTAATTAAAAATTAAGTAAATATTTTATTAGAGAGTACAATTTAATTAAAAATATTTTATATTTTTAAATAAAGAGAGTATATATTATGACGGTTGGCATCTATAGATTATTCTTCGTCACAAACAGAGGCTCAGTCAAGTGGTCCAGGAAGTGAAATCAACCTGGAAGCCAATTTGTTACTTTGCATAGTATAAGTCAAGCAGAGATGGAATAAAAACATTATTGTAATATTTTCCTCTGATATTTTACTGCAGTGAAAAATAGTGTAATAAATAAATATAATGTGTAAAAAATTAATGAAATAATACATAAAAAAAGAGCAAGATTTGAAAGAAGATAATCTTTGCTTTTAACAGATCTACTCCTTATAATAAAATAGAAAATTAAAATATTATAAATAAGACCAAGCAAGGTTACAAATTGGGAAAAATAATAATTAAAAACTTCTATGTAAAATTTATATCAATCAAGGATTAGTTATTGTCAAAATTCAAATGAAAAATAAATTTGAATGGACTATTATTAATTTATAATGAATTATTAAAACTCAAATGAATACTTATTAATAAAAGATTAAATCAATAAATATTTATTTAAATTTTAATAATAATTAATTTTTAATTAATATAAATTTTATACACAGATCTAGTTATTTTTCCTTACAATTAGGTCTTTTGTTTCGGATGGACATGTGAACACGATATTCACTTTCCTTTCCAACAAAACAGAGAAAAGATGACAAAGCGAGAATTCTTCAGGATAAGACAGCAAGAGCCCGTCTCGACCTCTCAAAAAGTATCTTGTCTGTGCACGTGGGTGTGCTGATGTGTTTGCCTAGTGGGTGACATAGTTGACGGCATCGACCATACACCTTTTCGCACACTCTATAGTATTATTTACTTTCACCCTCATCCCATGTGTCCGCCATGTGCCGTGGCCATCCGTTACCGTATGGTTGTCGCATAGGAATATTATGACAATTTGACCCCAACACTATCAAAAAAAAATTATTTATCCAAATGTTATACATTTAAAAATATTTTTTCCAGATACCATGAGTATGGAACTCGATTTGTGTCAAATTGATATTTATTATTTTTTTTTCAAATCTGCCAATGCAAAACTCAGCTTCCATGAGCCTAAGTTTCACTTAAATTGAAAAAAAAAAAAATTAGACGCGAGATGTGGCAGGTATAATGAGTAGGCCTGTGACCCATTTGCCCCATCTTTTTCCTTCCACCCTCCTTCCTTGAGTCGGGTGTATAAGTGAAGAGTGAAATGTGAGTATATATATAAAATCAGATTGGTCATTAAATTGATCAAGCTATTAGATTAAGGGTTAGTGGTTCAATCGGAGTTAAACTGGTGGCAAATCGATCATGATTAAAATAATACAATTTAAATAAAAAGACATTAATTATAAAAATATTCAATCAAATCCAACCACTCAAAAGTCTAATAATAATAGAATACTATATTTTTAGACTTAGCATGCTCTGCTTCTAATTTTTTATTTTTTGACTTTAATTTTACTTTTTTTTGTTATCTTATTTTCGAACTCAGAGCTCTGAAAAATTAAAAATAAAAAAAATAAAAATGACGTTGTTTTGGGGGTAAAAATCTAAAAAAATAATAATCCGGTTAACCCAGTCAACCCACTGGGTTATCCGGGTTATACCGGGTTGAACCCGGGTTGATCGGGTTACACTAGTTCACTCTCTCACCGAGTTAAGAGTAAACCCAAACCGGACAAAGGACCGAGTCATCGGTTTTCGAGTTGACCCGACCGGTTTGGTTTTCAATACCATGGTGTATATTCATTTATGTTCCGTTTGGTTTTTTTTCGTTTCACGTTCAGAAAATAAAATTTTATTTTTAAAAATTTGAAAATTATTTGGGTAGAATATTTTACAGGAAAGTACATCCTGAAAGTACATTCAAACAGTAGCTGAAAAGTGAATTTCTGAAACGTAACTATTTGAAACTTTTGAAAAGTGGATTTGAAAAGTAGGATGTTATTTGACCATACTACCTTAAGTTTAATCTCTTATTCTTTTATTCAAAAAATAGTTAATTCATTAAAATAAAATTATTATTTTAATAATAATAAATAGGTATCAATTTTTTTAGTATTATAAATTGAGTAATTGATCATGTTAATTTTTAGCATTAATGTATAATAAAAATTATAAATCTTTATTACATCTTTTAAAATTACAAATTAAAAAATACAAATAACTAGAGATCAAATTTTTAGCATTATAGATTAAAATTTATGTTATTTATAATCTTTATTATATTTTTTAAATATTTTAAATATATTACATTTGTATAACAAAAATTATAAATCATTATAAATCAATATCCTTTTTGGTAATTGTACATTTAAAAACACATTTCACTATCACAAACCAAATAACTTTCAATGCATCAAACTGACTTTTTAAAAAATATATCCAACTAAAAATTTTATTACAATAATTGATTTTCACTAAATTGACTTTCACCAAATAAACTTTTGACAAATTGAAAATCAAACGCACACTTAAAAAATACATTTGTATTTTGTACATATAATAAATTATAT